CATCATGATCAACTTCCATATCAGGTTTCTCAGCTATTTTTTTGTGTTTATATGAGCTATAGATGGACTTTTTAATGTGGGATGCAGGAAGAGTAGTATATGTGCATGAGGTAGACCTCTTTTTTGAAACTGAATTGTATATAAACCTAAAGAGTTAATAGTATAATGCCTTTCTTTAGGATGCCAAAAAAGTAATAATTTGTTTTTTTAACCGAATTGTAAATGTTTTAATTTATAAATGATGCATTATGTTAGTATGTTTATGTTTGAACTTACATGTAATTATTTTTTCAAAAGGTTGTTGCTTTTTCAGATCTTGCATCAGTTGGAATAACTTGATTTGGAACACTCTACATATGATGTCCACCCTGTTATTATCGGCAGATTAGTTGATTAAGCGAAGCATTTCATTTATTCCGGGCCATTTTGGATTGCATTTGAAAGTGAGGAACAAATCTGGATATTCTGCTCACCTACAAATTGCCATTGCATTTTGATAATTTTGTTCCCGGTAGTAAGGTCCTCCAGTGCGAGATGAAGGTAGGATAATTGTTTTTCTACCAGTGAACAATCTGAATCACCACAAAGAATGACATCCATTAAGCCAGAGTAAAGATCATGAGTTTTGTTTGATTATTCCGAATCTTACAAAATCTTTCTTCCTCGATTAGCATGTAACCGTAAAAAATATATTGTTGTAATAGTCTACCATCTAGTAAGATAATCTTACCCTCGTCAAGCCTTTGTTGTATTCTGATCAATATAAGTCTCATTGATAATTTTTGTCGCTTGCAAGTCTTGTTGATCACATCTGCTAACTTTATTCCAAGTCTATATTCATCTTCGCCATATGAATGTATTAATGGGTATGTCATAGATAGAAAACTTTGGAATAGATTAGTAATTCTTTGAAGTCCATTTTTTCTATACTCTAGAATAATATCTCGCTGGAAGTTTTCTTCTGTAATATCACCCACTATTAATCCGGTTACTTCAAAAGTTGTGGGTATATTCTATTGCCGACCATTTGTTGTCCTGTTAGATAGGAGACTTAGGCGAAATTCACATTCAGGATGGATGCTCTTTATATCTATCTTCAGCCATTCAAAATGTTTTTACCAATATATTATGCTCGTTCAACATTTCATATACGCCATGAACAATTTTGGGATCAACGTCTCCTTGCAACAGACAATTCATGTTGTTATTTTTTCATTATTAGTATCATATATATATATATAGCTGAGCAAACTGGATATTGTAATCAATTTCCGGCAATAAATATCTTTTACGAAGATACTTCTGACCACTCATCCTGGAAACATAAGACCCCTTTGAGCGATTGATAGATCTATCAACTCGGCCACTTATGGATGTAAATGTAAATATTGAGTTGTATGCCCTGATATTTTTTCTTAGTTGTCCTGATTTTGTACCCAAAAGATACTTGAGATAAAGTGGTGGTTCCCTCAATAAAAAAAAGTTGTACACGACCTCCTTCCATACAATAGAATGAGAATTTCAATTTTGTTGTATTGTTTTGTTGTCCATTCAACATACCATAAAAGAGATCTACAATAGTGGCATGTGTACTTTGGGTAGCCAAAATTCCATATTGTTGTGTAATGGCTGTGAAATTCGAACATTTAAATATAAACATAATCTTTTTATAGGTACTTAATGATTAATTTATTCAGTTTTCTTATATGAACAATAAGTCGAACTTTAACATACCACTTTGATGAATGGGAACATGTTTTCTTGAAAAGTTTGACAACTTGCCCAACTTTGTGAATCTATTCACAAAACGTATCAGCTGGATTTTTTTTGTTGTTCTTGTTTTTTTTTTTCAATTAAACCAACCTTTCACTTCAATCTAGAGTACTTGCATTTGTTTTATTAGAAAGGTCACTTCTTTTTTCATCCAACTACACTCGCGCCTGTTGATATATTTGCATTTTCTGTTAATTTTAACATATTTTCTTGGCAAGCTAATTCTGGTAGTAGCTATTGTAGGACGTCAATTTCCTTCGGAATATTCACTGTGCCATTATCGTTTAGTAATAGCAGATAGCAATTCCATTGAAGTTGTTAAATTTGATTTAGTATAATAAAATATGTTAGAAGAAGATATTTTTTTTTACTATAATGAGTATACAAGCCAGTGTAAATCAAAAGGCTCACCCAGATGATCTCAAAGAAACTGAATGGAGTGCAATGTCTAAATCTACTAATGCTTAAGTTTCTTGAATTATTAAAAAAGTAAATAAACGTCTCCCCTCCTTGATTGTGTGCTCTATTTTGTTGAAGATGAAAATGAATGGATGATCAAATGGTTGCAGAATTTGAATATGATGAATGAATGGCTACCTATGTTGAGTGTAACGAATTTGAATATGAACATAGGGAAGATATGAAAATTTCCTAGGCATTTAATAGGAATGAATTGTATTTGATTTGTTGAAAAAATGTAACTCAATAAGATTGGGAGGAAGATTTGGGATCATCTCCCAAATCATTTGAATGGGTAACTAATATAGCTATTTAATAGATAACAATACTTATCGGGATAGAACCTCATATGAAAGGCAATATGTGTTCTAAAGAATACTATTCAAGTAGAGTAGGAATGAGTATATAAACCACTGAAAATCAGAATGCTCACCCGAGATGATCTCAAAGAAATTGAATGGAGTGCAATGTGTAAATCTACTATTGCATTATGTTTTACTTTAATATAGTAAATGATACACTACTACTTTGTTCTTTTCATTATATTGATCAATAATACAAAATGATTGTCATTTGGAGCTCAAGATGAAGGGATTAAGGCAAGAAACATTAACCATGAATTACACAAATAACTTATAGTAGTACAAATGATGTTGTCACCTTGGTACTCTTAAGATTGCAGATCCACCTTAGGTTGCTTAAACCTAAATTTGCTTTTTTTTAGTTCTTTGGTAAGAATGCTTTTGAAATAATGCCTTTGAACCATGTACACAAGACACATGAATATTAACGTGGATTCCATTGACTGTACTTTTTAGCTTAGTATAATTATGAACTCATGTACTTAGGCTCTCTTTTAGTGCACTGATCCTTATCTTTGGACCCCTTAATCTATTGTTAAGCCACATGCAATGCTTATGAAGATAAATTTATTCATTTCTGTTCTGTATCTTTATGATATTGCCAATACCCCTGGTGTAATAGCTGATATTAGCCACGTGGACAAGGTTTTCTTCAAATGAAACCTTGGAATACCAAAATTTGAGCATTAATGAAAAACATAGTTGTCAAGTTAAAGGTAATGAAAAGTGATGACAATGAATCAACAAATATTGCACTGTCATTAGTAGTACATGTTTTCTGCAAACAAAAATCGCCCATTATAAGATAAAACTGAAACAGTACCACCATTTATAAAGGGAAATAACAATTATATCAAACTTCTTTATGAATTTAAAATATGGTAGACAACTAGTTTCTAATATTTTCGAGGCTCTAGCATTGAAAGAATATACATCCTCCATCCTCATTGAAGATATATGAAATGTTGAAATCATCTCCGAGCATGTAACAATCAATGTAATTTCCATTGTACTTGAGTTAAAATATGAAAATGCTCGTCTTACTGAGTGATTGCATTGTTTTCTACTCGAGAAAATGTAGTGTTCTTATAATTTGTATTCACCTTCATAACTACACATTATAATCAATCCTTTAGAATGTAGTTAGAAGAAAAGCAACCTTCTTAAATTATAAATATTTTACATAGTACACATGATAGTTGGTGATGAATTGAATCAAGCAAAACATGATACCAAAATACTAATGCAAACTCATAAACTCGTTGTTAGTTGATTTCATTTACAACATATATGAAGAATATCTTGCTTTTGTACTAGCTTGTCATAGTAACTCATTATATTCACTAAATAATCAGATATGGATTCAAACCTTATACACACATCAATGTCAAATTATTCTGGGTCAATTAGACACCTCTTATGTATATTAAGATCAGTTATCATTCCAATACTGACAAAATTACTCTCCTACATCTTTAAAAACTCATCCAACCAAATTGATATTAGGCGTATTTATGCGCCCAATAATTAATTTATCTCATTTATATAGATATGTTTAGAAGCATTTCCGGTATCGGAGTTTAGTTTTGATATTCTTTTAATGTCATTTTTCCTAAACAATATGATTCGATGTTACAGGGCGAAGAGAAAAGAAAACGATCCAAAATAGGACTCCTGGATAGAGCTCAGAAAATAGAAGACGAAGTTGCGGAGAAAATGAGCCAAGAAGCTAGAAAATGCGTTACAAGGGAGCACCTCTGCGTCGCGGAGCTAATCTATTGATTCAGAAAAGAAATTCCACATAACAGAGGACTCTGTGTTGATGTTCGACGTGGAGTGGTTTCACCTGAGCACAAATATAGGCTAGGGAATAGGTCCGCGTCACAAACTTGGACACAAGAAATTGTCCACGTGTTTTAAATTTGGACTATAAATAGTTTAACTGTGTTATTTTTATATTTTATCAAGTTCCAAAAAGATAGGAGCACAATACTTTGGGCGATTTTGCTACATTTACTAGGGTTTTTCTTCCATTTCTTCATCTTGGTAAACTTTGTATGATTGCTAAATGTTATTTCATCATCTTTTGTGCTATGAGTGGCTAAAATCCCTTATGCTAGGGTTGTAGCTATTGTTGATGGTTTAATACAATTTTTTTCCTATTATTCGATGGATTAACCTCATTATAGATTAGCAAGGTTCATTTTACGATCACGATCTTCGAACTGCTAATTGCCTACCAGCATTGACAACCTAAAACATCATTGAGTGAGATTAGACATGTACCAATGACGGCCCATTTAGCATTCATCTTGTATAACAACCAAGTGTTGTATATAAGTATAAGACTATCCTATATACAAAACACTCTAAATTTTACCCTAGAATGAACACTCTCACACATTCTTTGGTCTATCCCTCTATTTATCTTCTGAGTTCAAGAACAGACAACAAGTTTATTCTAATGTTAATCAAGAATTAAAATGGTAAAAAAATAATTCAAGCACAAATCATTAGACAACCCTTCTCATACTAGAAAAAATTGTATTAAACCATCAATCGTAGCTATAAACCCTAAAAATAAGGGATTTTAGCCACTCAGCAACAAACATTCGCATATGAACCTCTCTCAAAGAATGCACTGAAAGTTGCCATTGAAGTTCAACAAACCTGCAGTAAAAATGTGAAATATATAATGAATATTAATTAATATAGTGGCTATAAAGTTTACTCTTGACACATCTACATGAAAATTTCACTCTAAAGGGTATGAATCAAACTTATATGAGTATGATAGCGGAAAACGAAGCAGGTACTATCTACTATCTAGCTTCACCACTCACAAGAGGAATCATTTTCTGTTCCAAAAGTTCCATGAAATTCAACAATTAGACAAAGGCACCAGAAAATTCATTAACACTCATGCATTAATACAATTAATTAGGATGGGTTGGAATGAGGGCATTTTAGTGCGACACAGGTGCAAGAACTTTCTAATGACCCTAACACAATTCGAACTTCAAAATGATTGTCTACTCCCTTATAGAAGCTATGGTATCTGTAGGACAACTATTTTCAATAATGCAATTATAATAAAACTCATACTTGAATTGACAAAGTGTTAAGTAGATGGATCCAGAATGCGAACTCGTAGTCTACTACTATCATTTTCTTAATAACGAATTTAAAAGAATTTCACATAACCGTTAAACTAAACTAAAAATCATAAAAGGATGAACCAACTTAACTATGAGTTTCTCAGCCACAACATTGAATAGGGTAAAAGTATTGTACCCTTATATATCTATCGTTTTTATGCGTATCTTGAACCTATCTTTAGAGACTAGGTTAGATTAATTCGCAATGTATGAAAATCAAATTCAAAGTTCTTCTACAATCCTTACTTCACTAAAGGAAACTTGCAATCTTTATTGAAATTAGGGGAACGATAGACGCTATTGACAAGTTCAATCTTCTTCGAACACACATTACAGGAGAGGTAATACAGGTCAAAATAATTATCTATTTCTATAATTCAGCCCTTCACTTTAATGTTGTATTCCTACATTTAAAAATATATAATTATATAGTGTAACAATCCTATTGAAATGGAAAATACAAACAAAAGGTTCAAAATAACAAAACAACCAGTAGTTCAGAGCTCCATTCAGACTCCAAAAACTCCTTAATGTCCATGCGGTTATAAAACATCTCTTTCTCAAATGGGAGGTTTTAAAAAGAAGTACCAAAATGACAAAAGAATCTGTAGTTTAGAGCTCCAATCAGACTCCAATAACTCCTTAATATCCGTGCAGTTCAAAAACATCTCTTTCTCCAATCGGAAGGTTGTTTCTAACCCTTATCAAAAAAAACATCTCGACCAGAAACCAACTCTAGGATATTTTAAGATCTCAATTAGAAGTTATGCAGAAAATGCAAATTCTGATATGAAAAGGACTAACTATCAAACTATACATAATCGAAGAATTAGGGTATAATAGGGCACAAAAATAAATTAACACAGTAATACAAATTTAAGACACTATAATTACAAATCAGGAAAATAAAGGCAACTATGAAATCATCTTGACCAGAAACCAACTCCGAGCTATTTTAAGAACTAAATTAGAAGTTATATAGAAAATGCAAATTCCAATATGAAAAGGAATAACTATCAAACTACAATTTCCAATCAGGAAAAAAATGAATATTAAATCATCTCGACCAGAAACAAACTCTGAAAGGCAAGAATAAGCCATTGTAAGACCTCAATTAAAAGTTACATAGAAAATCCAAATTTTGATATGAAAAGGAAGGAGTAACTATCAAACTATATATAATCGAAGAATTAGGGTATGAAAGGGCACAAAAATAAATTAATAATGAAATGATTTAGAGATTAAAACAAATTTAAGACACTACAGTTACAAATCAGGAAAATAAAGGAGTGGGTTAATGATGTAGAAGGTGAAATAAAATGGAAAACGTACCTTCTCAAATTTATGAACTTGGGAGGGGGAAGGTGAGAAAATCAGCCAAAAAATTATGTGAAATAAGAAAAGTAAAATAAAGCACGCCTCATAAACTAACATATTAAATGAGACAATTTTGACGATGTTAGTGGGTTGGCTGTTAATCTGTTTGGGTTGTAGCTTAGTAATGAACAAACTTATTAAATTGGTTAATTAAGGTAATGTTAATGGGTTAGGTGTTAGACGTATGGGGCTGAAGCTAATTAAATACTCATATTTAGTGTGATATTAAATCATTTATGTAGTTTTTAGGAGAAAAATCAGAAATAATTCAAAAAAGGAGAGAAATAGAATGTCACAAATTTTGGCAAATTGGAGGGTGCCACATCAACAGATCTAGTATATATATATGAAGATTTTAAGAGGGTTTGGTAGAGTTTAAAATATATTTTAGGAGAAATATTAGATTTAAACTCTTAAAAGATGAAATTTATGGAACTGTATCACAACTGTATTAAAGATTTATTAGATATGTTTCATAATTTAATTAAAATTGTATTAAAATCATGAACAATATATTTATAATACATATTGCAAACTTCACTCCCTTTTTAGTGATATCAATTATAATAATAATTTAGGTACCACACTTGTAATACATTTTGGGGTCATTTGGTTACTATATTAGATACATCTTATTCATGTATAAAAAGTTGTATTAGCGTTAGTATGTTTGATAGATGTTTTTATTAGGTATAAAACTCAATATAACTTATACCATGTTTGGTTGGTAAGAATTAAAATATTGTATAAAAGTTATTCATGTATTAATTTATACGGTGTTTGGTTGCATTTTTTGTAGTCCTACATAATTAATACCAATATAACTTATGAGAGAATCTATGTATAAAATTATGCAGGGTAGAAGGTAGAATAAGTTATGTGGATATTAGTTATACATGTGTAAAAATGATAAATTACGCATTTACCCTATTAATTTTATTTTTAAAAAATTGGAAACTTTACTATTTTCCTATCTACATTTGTTGTTTTTATTTCTTTTTATAATATTATCAATCTTTTTTTATATTATATATTTTTACCAACTCTTCAAAATTACAAATTACTCCTTCTTTGTAGAAAATTTCTTTTGCGGATTGTATATAATTTTAAATTTTTTAGAAAAACACGTTGAGTGACACTTATTTAGTAGAACTGTTGGATTTTTTATATGAATATTTATATTTAAAAAGAATTATAATCAAACCGACATATGGAAAGGGAAAAATATATTTTTTATAATAAAATTGACAACCTTCCACAAAGAATGGAAACATGATAAAAGAGTTATAAATAAGCTATACTATTTCATTAATTTATCGTTTCAGGTATTGGAAAAAAATATTTTATTTCATCTTTAATTGAAACTTTACTTCTTTTTCTATCTACATTTGTTCTTTTTTATTTTTATATATATAGAGACTGTTACAGAACCATTTAATGTTTCTTTCATCAATAAACTAACATGATGAACCTATTTAACGTAACTCGTAAAGTTATATTAACACATTTGTTAAAGGATGTAAACGGATGTTTCTAAATCCATTAAAAGGGTGATCTTTACCCTTATGAAATACACACAACAAAACATATAAAAGAATATTGTTTACTCTATATTTCTCATTAGTATTTGTCTTCCATTTCTTGTTTAGTATTATTGCATTTTGCTCTTGTTTTATAACACGTTATCAGCACGAGTCTCTAGCCAACTAAGACGTACTTGATTTGAAAGTAATTTCTAAAAGTTAATCAACTTTCTTTTAGAGCCAGTATATATTTGTGCGTATATAAAATCTCTAATAGGTTTGCATTACTCTCTAATTAGTATTTTCATTATTGCATATATAACCTTCTTTAGGTATTATTATAATACTTTACTAGGCATAATAATCAAGATGTTTCATGTTTATATTGTTATGTTATATATGCGACTAATTTATAACTATAAATTCAATACTAAGCAATATGATAGCGTGAGAGTTGGAAGACTTGTAAATATTTTCTTGTCATAAATTTACGATAAAATATATGTGTGTCATAAAGAGAGTGGTATTTATTAAATATGACATGAAAAACTTACAAATGTTATGCATTATAATTATATTGAAACTAGAAATAAATATTGAAAAATAATTACAATATATATTAAATCTACCGTTTCATACTTTATGAGTTTACATGTTTTTGTAACATTCTATGTTCATGCATAAAATATATTTCATACTAATTCTTAATCATTTGAAGCATAACGTTATCTTTTATTATAAAGAAACCAATATCATAATATTAACTCAAAGTTATTTTATGCTTTTTTTCATCATGTCGAATTTGTCAAAGCTTGAGTTTGTGATACTTGACATTTCTGAAAAGAATTATTTGTCATGCGTACTTGATGCTGAAATTCACTTTACCACTAAGAGTCTTGGTGACAGTATAATAGAAGGAAATACGACATCAAGTCAAGTTAAAGCGAAAGCTATGATTTTTCTTCTTCGTCATCTTGATGAAAACCTAAAGGTTGAATACCTAACAGTGAAAGATCCACTTGAATTGTGGATAGGTTTCAAAGGGAGGTATGACCACCTCAAGACAACGGTATTACCAATGGCTCGTTATGAGTGGATGCACTTAAGGTTTCAAGATTATAAATTCGTAATTGAGTATAACTCTGTTGTATTTAGAATAACATCTCAACTAAAATTATGTGGCTAAACAATAAAAGATGAGGACATGTTACAAAACGCACTAACTACTTTCCATGTCTTTAATATGATATTACAACAACAATATTGTGAAAAAGATTTTCAGAAATACTCTGAACTGATCTCATGCCTTCTAATAGCTGAGAATAATAATGACCTTTTAATGAAAAATCATGAAACATGTCCCGCTGAAAGTGCTCCATTACCGGAGGCTCACGCTGTTGATGCACACCGCCAATCTAAAATATGAGAAATAATCAGGCCCATAACAATGTGCACGGGCATATCAAAGGCAAAAGACGATATAATAATCTACGAGGTGATGGTCATAACAAAAGGGAGAACAATATGGATTATCAAAATAATCCTTCTAAAGGAAAGGGCGATCACTGTCATCGTTGTGGCCTTAAAGGTCACTTGAAAAATGAATGTCGGGCACCTGAGCATTTTGTCAGGCTGTATCAGAATTTCTTTAAACGGAAAGGAAATAAAGGCGGTGCCTCCTCTTCTAATACCCTGCTAGAGTCACATATCAATCCCAAAGATGATGTTCAGGCATAATCTTCTCAAAAATATAATGAGAATGTTGAGTCAAACTCAGTATTGAAAGATGATGTTTATGATGGGCTCAATGATATTACTCATCTGTAAGCTGAGGACTTCTTTGGAGATCACAACTGAAATTGATAATTGAGCTAGGAAATGAATAATGTTTTTATGTATTTTTAATGTCTTAATTAAAGTTTATGTACTTAAGATTTCTTTTGTTAAATTTTGTACTTCTTATCATGTACTTTTTATTCTTGTGAAGATAAATAAAATTTTCTAGTCTTCAGTTGGATCCAAGATGCGTAGTGGAGACATGTGTCTTCTGGATAATGCCACAACTCATACGATACTAAGAGAAAAGAAATATTTCTCTCAATTGATAATGAAAAAGGCATATGTTTATACAATATCCGGTAGTACAAAATTGATAGAGGGCTCTAGAAGAGCGACCTTATTACTACCGGGAGGAACATCATTGGTAATTGATAATGCATTGAATTGTAGTAAGTCTCATAGAAACTTGTTAAGTTTCAAGGTTATTCGCCAATATTGCTATCATGTTAATATTGCGAATGAAGGTAAGGTGGAATACTTTTATATTACTACAACAAATGCGGATAAGAAAATTTTGCATGAAAAATTGCCAGCACTTTCTTCTAGGTTGTATCATACAAATATTGGTACAGTTGAATCACATGTCGTATTAAATAAAAGGTTTACTGATTCTAATGATTTTATCATTTGCCATGATTGATTGGGCCATCCCACTTATAATAAATATGAAGCGCAAAGTAATTGAGAATTCGCATGGGCATACTATGAAGAACACACACACACACACACACACACACACACACACACCCACACCCCCCCCCACACACACATACACACTTGAAAAATCGCCCTGAGGACCACATCTTCTCTATGTAATGATAATACATACAAGTCAAGAATGATATTACATTCTTGAATTATGAGGGGAACTTGTGGCACAACCCATTTTGACTTGAGTCGTTGACTTCTTCCTACTACTAGAAAACTAGGAATATGGATAAAATTATGGTCACTGCCTCCATCCACCAATACCTGGACCAGGGAATCATTGACATGACCATGGAATCGGAACGTGGAATAAGAGTTCCCACATCCAAGGCATGATAAGATATAGAAGAGTGTTCTTGAATTTCCAAACATTGTAATTCTTCTGCCAAAAAATCATCTGCGATGAATGACTCCAGTAATGTAAGTTCCCAATTAGGATCATTATTGAGGAGTCACAGTTGGGACAGTGTTTACATTTATGACTGATTAAATATTTCTCCTCAAAATAGTAGTAGAGTCCATGCTCACGACAACTTTGAATTTAAGCACGTGAGAGGAATTTCAATGGGGAACGTGCAACAACTCGATTCAAGTTGTTGTTGATTGCTATAGCAGCAGAAGAATTTTTGTAGGATAAAGAGACATTTGGGTTATGTATAAAAGGTGTACCTTATTATCCAAAATAGGTAGGATGAGTCTTTTCGCAGCCTGGATTCGTCTCTCTTGTATATGCTTTTACTTATGGTTCTCATCACAAGTTTTTGGCTCGTGACACAATACTCAGTTCTTGATGTCCTCTCTTAGTCTAGATATAACGAGGTGAAGAATAAGTCTATAACAAATGTCACCAGTCTCATTCGTAATGGCTTCAAATCGTCCTTATGGGTCTGAAACAGTGGTAACTTGTCGGAGTTTTTCCAATCTTCCTTCCGCCGACTCCAAACCCTTCTGTTTGAATCGGATTCACACCTTTTCAGCAAATGTGGCCAATAAACTAATTGTTTGTTCCTAAACAACCATTTGTAACATTCCAGTGGTTCGCCATTGAGATGAAATGACGCGATGCTGAGCCTGTGATTACAAAAATAAAAGTATCGTTC